AAAAAAAAAAAATCAGCCAGGTGCGGTGGCTCACACCTGCAATCCTAGCACTTTGGGAGGCCGAGGCGGGCAGACCACCTGAAGTCAGGAGTTCAAGACCAGCCTGCCCAACATGGAAAAACCCCGTCTCTGCTAAAAATACAAAATTAGCCAGACGTGCAAGCGCATGCCTATAATCCCAAATACTCGGGAGGCTGAGGCAGGAGAATCGCTTGAACCCGGGAGGCGGAGGTTGCAGTGAGCTGAGATCCCGCCATTGCACTCCAGCCTGGGCAACAAAAGCAAAAACTCCGTCTGGCTGGGCGCGATGGTTCACGCCTGTAATCCCAGCACTTTGGGAGGCCAAGGTGGGCGGATCACAAGGTCAGGAGTTCGAGACAATCCTGGCCGACATGGTGAAACCCTGTCTCTACTAAAATACAAAAAATTAGCCAGGCATGGTGGCGGGCGCCTGTAGTCTCAGCTACTTGGGAGGCTGAGGCAGGGGAATCACTTGAACCTGGGAAGTGGAGATTGCAGTGAGCCGAGATGGCACCACTGCACTGCAGCCTGGTGACAGAGCGAGACTCCATCTCAAAAAAAAAAAAAAAAGTCTATGAACTAGTGATTTGAGATTTCACCTTTATCACATTCTAGATTGTATTTTATTTTCATTTATTTATTTGAAATAGGGACAAGTCTCCCTATGCTGCCCAGGCTGATCTCGAACTCCTGGCTGGGCTTGAGCAGTTCTCCCACCTTGGCCTCCCAAACTGCTGGGATTACAGACATGAGCCATCCTACCTGACCTAGGTTTTAGTTTTTAGTTTTATTTTTTCCTGCACCCAGCTAATTTTATTTGATTTGTAGAGACAGGGTCTTGCTATGTTACCCAGGCTGGTCTCGAACTCCTGGGCTCAAGTGATCCTCCTGCCTTGGCCTCCCAAAGTGCTGGGATTACCAGCATGAGCCACGGTGCCCAGCCCCACATTCTAGATTTCTATGGATAGAGTATGCTTAGGGATGAGTATGTTTCTGGATGTTTGACTTGGCTCTCCTGGTCTGTTGTCTGTCTGTGCACAGCATCACATTGTTTGAATGATAGAGGCTTTAGCATACATAGCTGGGAAGGCTAATGTTCTTTTTTAGTTTTTCTTTCCAGTGTTTTCCTAGCAATTCTTGCATGTTTGTTTTTCCATATGAACGTTAGTATCAATATGTCTAGGTCTATAAAAAAGCTTGGTGGTATTTTTATTGGGATTATGATACTTTAATACATTAACTGGGAGAATGGACATATTTTTTTATATTGTCATTTTATCCAAGGATAAGAAATGTCTTCATATCTGTTCAAGTCTATTATTGTATCTTTCTCGACTGCTGCAATGTATTCTCTTATAATTTTTTCCCTTGGTATCTTATTTTGTGTATTTGTAATATCTTATTTTTTTTGAGTAAATTAGCTAATGGCTTGCCGATTTTCTCAAAACAAATACCTAGGGATTTGATTTATGAAATTATTAGGCCTATTATTTTTCTTTTTTTGTTTTGAGACATAGTCTCACTCTGTTACCCAGGCTGGAGTGCAGTGGTGCGATCTCAGCTCACCGCAACCTCCACCTCCTGGGTTCAAGTGATTCTCCTGCCTCAGCCTCCCAAGTAGCTGGGATTACAGGTGCATGCCACCACCCCTG